CACACACACTCACACACACACTCACACACGGCTTCTAGACATGAAGAACACTCACACACACTCACACACTTGACATTATCTGACAAGTGGAGAAATGGGAAGATGGAAAAAACTTATCTCCTGGGCTGATTTCCCTCTCAACTGAGACATTTAAGCCACCAGGAAGAACACACAGTCCTGGGCCTTGGAGTTGGACAGCTCAGATCCTGGATGGAGCTAAGTGACCTGGGCAAGTCATTTAACCTCTCCAACACTTCATTTTTTCTTCTTCAAAATGGGCACATACAGTAAAGAATTAACCTGGGCCTGGAGAAAGGTGTGATCCTTTGCCCTCAGCACTTGGGAAGTAAATTCTAAGCCCTTGGAATATTTCGCCTATTAAGAGTGTCTTCTGGCCGGGCACGGTGGCTCACGCCTGTAATCCTAGCTCTTGGGAGGCCGAGGCGGGCGGATTGCTCAAGGTCAGGAGTTCAAAACCAGCCTGAGCAAGAGCGAGACCCCGTCTCTACTATAAATAGAAAGAAATTAATTGGCCAACTAATATATATAGAAAAAATTAGCGGGCATGGTGGCCATGCCTGTAGTCCCAGCTACTCGGGAGGCTGAGGCAGGAGGATTGCTTGAGCCCAGGAGTTTGAGGTTGCTGTGAGCTAGGCTGACGCCACGGCACTCACTCTAGCCTGGGCAACAAAGTGAGACTCTGTAAAAAAAAAAAAAAAAAAGCGAGGGTGGTGTTGGGGACCCCTGAGCCTTGTAGCAAAATATTAATAATAGCCCCTCTCATTGGTGTCAAGGAGAAGAAATGAGAAGATATATGTAAAACCCTCAGCACAGGGCTCAGCCCAGAATAAGGTTCGACAACGATGTGTTTGCCCCATAGTGTCTTCTGTCTGCCGCAGCAGCTCTGGGGTGGGCCCTGCTCTGCTGCTCACTGCCGTGGGGCTGTGGACAAGTCATTCGTCCCTCTGGACCTTGCTCCCTAATCTCAAAGCCACGCGCTGTGAGGACGAGTTAATAGATGCAAATCCCCCAAGACAGGCCTGGCACACGCCTCGTGTGCTGGTTTTTATTATTGTTACAAGCACTGAACCCGAGTCAGAGGATGCCAGGCCCAGCCCCACACTGACCCGCCGGGGTCAAGCAAGCGACTGGCCAAGTCAGCCGAGGCCCTGATCTGAGGGCGGAGACCAGCAGCAATGGGGAGCCACGGGAATGGGGCATCATGTGGGGAGTTCTCCGCCTGTGCCTGGTAGAGTCGCAAAAGGGAGATGTTGGGAGAAGGAGAGGCCCTCTCGCACCTCTATGGCTAGTCTGAGAAGAGGCCACTTCGAACTTGTACTTTGACGGAGAGGTCCTCACGGTCGCATGCGAGGAGAGGTATTCGTTAGGAGTCCGGCAAGAAGGCCAAGCCTGGACGAGCTCGCATCGAAGTGAGCGCGGGCAAGATATTGGGCAGTCTCGGCTGATCAACCGCTAAAAGCATGTTACTTACACTTCTCAGGCACTTACGTGATTTCTATCAGCTGTAGCGAAACTTCAGGGCGGCTTGGCCTGTCCCTCTGTTGCATGTACCACGCCGCGCCTCCGCCACGATGCATGGAACGCGCCAGCTTCTGAACACGCAGGCACACCGCCCGCACGGCCCGCGAAGCGTAGACGAGAAAGGGAAGGGGTGCGACTGTTTTAGCCTAGTGCCTTCACAGTGGTCAAAGGGCACATCACTGAGAGGTACATTCTGAGCCAGTGGACGTCCAGTCCTTGCGTTGTGGCTTATTACCGTGGTGGCGTTACTTATCCTGGCATTGAAAGGCTGTGAGGCTGTGCAAAGGTACCGGGGAGTGTCACTTCACAGGAGAGCGAGAGCCTAGGTGGCGGATGACATGATCCAGGGTTATATGCTAGTTGTGACGGAGTTGTGTTGGAGACTGTCTGTGAGGTGGGTACAGAATGCAAAGCAGAGGGCTGCTGACACTCGCCTGTGCTTACTCTTATAAAGAAATGGGAGAAAACCTCTCATAGATAGGCTGTGAGCACGCACAGGGGCCCGGCACGGGCAGGCCAGTACGGAGGAGTGTCTCACTAAAGAATAGGCATGAGAGCGCCTGGGAAAGCTCCAAGCAAGGATGTAATGTGTCAGGATCTCACTTTTTTTTTTGTTTTTTTTCCCTGGTTTTTTCGTGTTGTGTATCCCGAAGATGGCGATTCGACGGGCAGAATTGCCCTTATATATATATGTGTTTTTTTTCGAGAAGCGATGCTGTTCCCTTTCTACTTAGAGAACACAGCGCAGGACGATTT